TAGAAATCCTCTGTCTCTTCCCCGAGCTAGTAGTGGAGGACTGTCCCTCCTTCTTCCTGTCCTTTGATCCAGCCTCCCGAATCCTCTTGGCATCTTCCACCTCTCTCTCTATAGCCATGGCTGTCTCGACCATCTCATCAAATTCGTGCAACCTGTGGCCAACAATCTTCCCGCGGATGGATAGCTTTAGGCCATTTTCAAACCTCCGTACCTTGGCCAAATCAGTGGCCACGTAGTCATCCGCAAAATGTGCCAATTCTGTGAACTTGGTCACGTACTGCATAACCGTCATCGCTCCTTGCTTCAAGTTTAGAAATTCATGGGCTTTGACTTCCCGAACAGCTGGTGGAAAATATTTCTTCATGAAGAGTTCTTGAAACTCTCCCCATGTCATCCTTCCGATGTCTATCGGCTTTGCCCATGTCCACCATTGATGGGCGTCTCCCTCAAACTGGAAAGTGGCCAATCGTATCTTCGTGGCATCAGATACAATCTCCATAGCTTCCAAAATTTTGTCCACCTGTTGGAACCAATTNTCCTCAACTGATGGTACCCTGTGCGTCTTGGAATAAACCCGTGCCCCTCTCAGCTGGTCAAACAAGTCATCAATACGTGGCAAAGGGTACCTATTCTTGATAGTGACCCTATTCAATTGTCGATAGTCAATGCAGAGCCTAAGCGTTCTGTCCTTCTTCTTGGCAAATAGTACTGGAGCACCCCAAGGTGAAGTACTCGGCCTAATAAAGCCTTTGTCCAATAACTCTTGTAACTGGACTTTAAGTTCTTGCAACTCCGCTGGTGCCATCCTATGCGGTGCCATAGAAATAGGGGATACACCGGGCTGTAACTCTATAGTGAAATTTACCTCCCGATGCGGTGGTAACCCTGGTAACTCATCCGGGAAGACATCCGCATAGTCACACACGACTCGAGGCAGACCCAATTCCTGTCTCTCCTCGTCCTCCAGTGTAAGGCTAGCAAGCCAACCTATCAATTGCCCGTGCCATCGGGAGTCATATACGGCATGGGGTAAGGCATTGTGTTTCTCCCCCTGAAACTTGAAACAAATCCCGTCTAAAGTGTAAGCTGTAACCCTCTTACGCTCGCAATCAATGACGACTTTATGTGCCGCCAACCAATCCATCCCGAGTATGACATCGAACTCCGTCATCTCGATAACCCTAAGGTCAACAGTAAGTTGGGTTCCTTCGATCTCCAACTCACAACCTCGACATATCTTGTCAATACAAACTCTGTCTCCTAGGGGTGAACTCACATACATGGGCTCATCCAGAGTCTCTGCCTCTATACCCAAGTCTCGTAGGCATGATGTAGCAATAAAAGAATGTGATGCACCAGAATCAAATAATATTTTTGTCCATAATCTAGAGAGAAGAAATGTACCCTGAATTACTGACTGATCTGCCGGTAAAGTCTGTGGTGTGATGGCGAAGACTCGCCCCTGGGTCCCTGAAGTCCCGGCCTGAAAGCCCTGTCCCCGGCCTCGGCCCATGCCCTGGCCTGACTGCGGAGTCCCCGCTCGTGAAGTGGTAGGGGCCTGTGCCGTACCCTGAAATTGCAACTGATTTCCCTGTCCCCTGGTGGGGTAGGGAGGAATGAAGTAGGTCTGTGGATGCCCCACTGATGATTGGGACTGAGATGCCCCGTAGCTCTGTGATCCTTGCCTCTGAGGACATTCTCTCTTCAAGTGTCCTGGCTGGTGACAGTAGTAGCATATCCGTGGGCCTCCCTGTTGTGTACCNTGAAATTAAATCTAAATAGGGGAAACCCTACCTCTCGTAGCGTGAGACCACTTACAAGAACGCCAAGGAAGCCCAAATTTAGTTTCCTAAGTTTTAGGTCTAGATTATCGGCTTTGATATACCTTCGAAGAAAAATACGATATTTGGTGTGGTTGCGTAGCGCTCGTTGAGTAGAGCAACTTTAGTTCTTGGCCCGAAGCGATTAAACGGTTAAATTTTCCTAGATCTGAGAAGGAAGAAAAGAGAAAAAAAAATAAAAACTCTTTTTTTTTCTCACTCTCTCTTTCTCACCGGCTGTAGAACACCCCAAAAAGTGGAAGACAAAGTCTTCCACTTATATATGTATATATATATATATATTTTTAATTTATGTTTTTGACCCATAATTTAACAATTAATTATTATTTTACCCTTTTATTTTTATTAGGATTAATAATATATATATATATTTTTTCGGGTTTTACAAATCTTGTTTAATCCAAAGTTAGTACAAGCAATTAGGGGTAACAATTTTCAACTCAACACAATAATACGATTCGAACTCGACACAAATTTTATAACACAAACTCAATTATAACTCGACACAAACTAAAAAATAACCCGATACGTAAACACGAAATATAAACGGGTCATGTCGGGTTTAACTTGTCAAATTCGAAATTGATAAGAATGGACATTTTCTCTATTTTCTTGCCTATATAGTAACACAAACAATACGAAATTAATGCGAAATTAACATGTTTAACTAATATTATAGAAATAAAATAATAATTATTTTGTTNCCTCAATGGAATGGACCTAGCCAAGTGTGGGATAGTAGTTCTGCTAGGCTTCCCTGCCATGTCTCCTGACTGCTGCTTGGTGTGGATTAGCATAAGTCATTTCTAGTGAAAGAGGGAGCGGCTCTCGAGAATCTGCCACCTTAAGGATAAATATTTTATTAACTGATCTAATACGTATGAAAGGTATTTGATACATATCTTTAAGTACTCAATTAGTATCGATATCCGATANAAGAATACGACACGAAAATAAACAGGTCAACTCGACACAACATGATTAATTAAATGAATTAAGTTAGGACTAACTAATGATCGACGCACAATAGCCCGACAAATATGCTTTCAAGCTTCAACACAAGTAACTAAGTTTTACAATTTACAAAGAAAAAAGTTTTTCGTGCTGTGTTTCAGAATAGAGTGTCCGTACTTACAAGCATTTACCTAATTTTTTCTTTTTCAGAAGGTAAAATGAATAGTATTGAAAGAAATAATTCAATGTACAAAAGAAAGGGCAGGTCCTGTAAGGAGCAAAAACCAACAAAAAGGCATCTTGGTTTTCCACCATATTTGCTCTAAATGGAGCTCATATAAACTAAAACTTGTAACTAAAAACACCAACATATTCCGTTGAACTTATTCTGTAACAATAATTTTGTGTATAAAATTCAAATTGAAAAATAGAATTACATCAATGAATATCAGAATCCAAATTCAGGCAAGACTAACTAATGCCTTTCCTGTTAAAAACTATGGTCAGCAAATTAACTAAAACCCAGTGTCATCATCAATCAGAAGGTTTAACAAATTGTAAGCAAATGCTACAAAGAGCCAAAGCAAGGGTAAGGTAAGGCCATAGCTTGTTCAAAACCATACTAGAAACACCCCCTCCTTCTATCATGTCAATAAACCAAACCTTGTTTTTCTTCCAATTCCACCTCTTAATTCCTGGTTTCTTCATCTTCGTTATATGTGCATAGCAATCTTCCTCTCCTCTCTCCAAAGCTTTGTTAATGGCTGCTGAGCCACCTCTGAACTTTTCGTCCCCGGAATAGTCCCCTAGATAAATGCAATAAATCAGTAGAAGTGCAATTATGCTGACAATAGGATTTTCTATTTTCCTCCATAGCTTCAAAGATTTGGTTATATCAATGAACTTTTTTCTGGCAAAAGCTTTGGTTTTGTTAAACAAGCTTCTGTACTTGGATTTTGCCTGAGGAATTGCATTTGCAGTTGGGAAGGTTTGGTCATTTCGATGGATTGTAACGACATTTGAAGGCACTATTTGATGATAGAAGGTCATGGCTGCCTGGCGAGTTGAAACAAACATTCCATGATTTACTTCAACTTTCTCATAAACTTCAAAGCTTGGAGGACTCGAAAAGTCATCCATGTTGTCATCATCTATGAAGTTATCATTCGGGTTGTCGTTGGCAAATGCAAGTGAGAAATCATTTGCTTCTGTGTCATTGAATTCATTGAAGTTGTTGTGTGTGCTGGTTTCTCCTGCAAATTTATTTTGCGTAATGAACAACACAAAATGAAAGAAAAAAAAATGATGCAAAATAACAATTTGTAATTTTTTTTTAATTCTTCTTGTCACGATCAACATGCAGAACAAGAACATGGTGGAAAATTCATTATTATACCTTGAATTTCATGCTCTTCGCTTTGAAAACCCGAAATATTTTCTATTGGAACCGTCTTGAAGTCTTCCAAGAACGTCTATAAAACAGAACAGTGAAAGCTATAGTTCAGAACTCGGTTCACTTTGAAGTATAATTTATGTTTACTTCTTTCCACATATATGTTTGTAATTAGTGAATACCGTGAGAATTTTTTTTTTTTTTGGGGGAGGGGGGACTAGAATCATAGATTTCAAAAAGGCAAAATCTTGCCAAGATAAGGAGTATTATTCGAGCAAAGACCCCTTGGTGAATACCGTGAGAAGTAGTAGCACATATACGAGGAATAAGTTACCTTCTCTAGATCGTTGCTTGACATTCCCACCCACCTCAAGTTCTCAACTGTTCTATCAGTTCTAAATACCTCATCCATGTCTCCAATCTCAATGGGCCTTGTGTTCGGATCTCCCCTCAATTTGTTCATAAATGAAAACGAACTCGTGTCGTGGATTTGGTTAGGATGAGGCATAAAGGAAAAATCATCAGCAGGAGCATAATTTCCACCCCATGTATCTTGGTTTATGAGTTCCTGAGAAGCTTGAGCAACTGAAAGAATTTCCTGCAAGATATCATTTCTATTTGTGCTTTCATGGATGAAACTCGATTGTGGCATCTTTAGGTCTGTGAAGCCAACTTGAGGGAAGTCCTGCACCTCCAATGGAGGTAATGAGAACCGATGCTGCAACCTTGCGCACTCCAATGCTACATCAACCTAAGTACAAATGCAAAAACAATTCTGATTAGAGAATACAGAATCCAAAAAAAAATGAAACACTCACATATATTTGTGTATAAGGCTACTTGGTTTTTTCCCATGTCTTCGTTCATAGAAGGAAAAATTACACTTTGATCTTCTCAACTATGACTCATCCATTATAGAGTTTCTCACATTGCTCCCTCAACTGCTTGAATTAGTTTTACAATGACCCAAAATTAATGTTCTTCATGTTTTGGGTAGTTTTACTGCACGTTTTCAATTTCTAAAATCAAGGAAATTTAGACCAATAATTAATAGGTGGAGGCTCGGGGGGGGGGGGGGGCACATATGCAGAGTACTAGAAAAGAAGTGTAACATAGTAGCAGGATAGATTTTATATTTTTTTTTTGTGAGATTATGTTTATATTTTGGCATTAGTTATGGGCACCAAAAGAGAATATGTTGAAGAGAGACATTATGGATGCAACCTATAATTCTATGTGCATCCGAGGAGTATAAAATTATATTGATATTGAGAATCTATTATTGGTTAAGTGCAAGGAAAATAGAGATTGTTGAATTGGTAGTTAATGTGTAATGTATTGATAGGTAGAGATTGAATATCTGTATCTTATAGGTTTATTACAACTTCTTTTAATTTTTGAATGGAAATAAGAGTATATCTTTATGAATTTTCTATAAGGACTTTCAAGATACAAATTGGGTATAAATCTATTTGGGTTATTGTGGATTGATTGATGAATTTCGTTTAATTTTGGTAATTAAATTTACATATTCACTTGAAGGTATGCTCAAAGCTATTAGATGAGAGTGTATGATTATGTGGAATACCTCTATCTAGTGTAGTAGATAGAAGTCCAAAATTTACTTTTAGAGTTTGCCTACTTTGCAAAATGCAGTGGATAACACTTAGAAGTTCAGTATAATTTATGGTTCTCAATTTGACAGGCAGTCTGACTGTCTGAGCATACTATTCATACTTTGACGTTATGTTTCACGCGTACTGTACTAGAAATTCGAAGAAAAGTTTGGTCTGAGATATATTTTGTCATATGAAATTATAGAGAGCATTGAGGTTACAATTAAATAGTCGATTCTATACTTGATTCTACCTGCATATTGGTGGGAGCAGTTTATTGAACTTAAGAAAACTTTTAATTATGTTGAAGAGTCAATAAATTTTGGGTAACAAGATGATTCAATTAGTCAAGATATTGTAGAAGAGTCACTCAGGCGAGGAAGTTACTTGTGAAGTAGATAAAATGATAAAAATTGAATATCCTCATTTGTTCTTACAAGGTATATAAATTTCGAGGACGAAATTCTTTTAAGGGGGAGAGAATGTAATACCTAGGGTAAAAATAAGAAAAATAAAAAAATAACAATAATAATTAAAAATAGGGGGATAAAAGTGTAATTAAAATGAGTTCTCTTGTTACTCTAGAAGTCTATATATATATATATATATNCATAATAGTTGAGGGGCAATTTCAGATAGGGACATAATTGAGGGAATCAAAGTGTAATATCTCCATTCTAGTATTCGCATTTTACCTTTGATGGGGGAAAAGACATGGTCCCATAATTTGGAAATGGTGGAGGGTTGAAGTTAAATGCCTCTTCTGATAAGTACTGCATCCAATTCCCATCGGTACTTGAACCAGTTGCATGAAGTGGAGACCCATGGTTGATGCTGGTTGAGCATGTAGCTAGTGGCCTTGGATAATTTGGACTCTCCAAATTTTCACATCTTTCTTCAGAGTATAGATCAATACTAGATGAGTGATCACTAGCTGTGGTGGCATACTGTTCTTCAACCTTTGGGGCATTCAAACTCTTCTTAAACACACGGCAAAGTGCATAAGCATCCTGGAAATTTTGAAATCAAAAAAGAATGTTAGTTATCATATTCGATATATAATAACTTCTAAGCCTTTTTTTTTTCAACGCTGAAGGATGTCCAGACCATCTTAATCATATATCGACTAATTCTTTTTTCGGTTTACTTAAAGACAAAGAACAATGCTATTAAGACATAATTTATGAACATAATTTGAAGACATAATGAGTTGTCACTAATGATATGATAATGAATTCAGAGAAAGTATTTATATAATAAAATAGCTCATATTTTGAATTTTGTCTCAGTTATATTTTACTCTTCAAAACCATCACCAATCACTCATATTTTCTCCCTTACATCACATCACTCATTTCTATCACATGTTTAATTATTTATATATTTTTCCCCTAAAAATATCACATTACTTATTTCTATTTTATGTTTAATCATTTAATATTTGATTAATTTATAATTAATATAATTTTTATTTCAAACATTATTCAAATACGATAATATACACATGTTAAAAAAATTTAATATAGTGGGATTAATTTTTTGGACTTTCGAATTTTATATTTTATCGCACCTTCAAACACGTTTTATGACTAATATATCTATACAATGCATAAGTATCCTAAATACATCCGTAAATGAGTTGAGTTTAATCTTAACGCGAGCCTAAATTTGAACACAAACTCTAGTGTGATTTGTATGACCAGATGAGCTGAGCCTTGCTCAGCCCAACCCAAGTCTGGACAATAAATTGCCTAGTTAAAATTGAGCAAGAAACTCGTCACAATCTTGATCAAGCTGAGATCGAACAATCTTAATGAGCAAGCTCGAATTATGTGATACTCGGCAAAGTTGGATTCATTTGCACCTAAGAAAGGGACCATATATATACACATACAGATGTATATGGTGCAAGAATCAAATGGCAATAGCAAAGAAGTATAACAAGTGGAATCTGTAAAATAGAAGTAGAAAGGAATAAGTGAGAGAGAAGGATGAACCTGCAAGCCTGTGTTAGTTTCACACTCTCTCTCATCTAGCCGGTATTCATGCATGACCCAATCAGATCGAGCTCCATGGGGTGCTCTCCCTCTATAGTAAACTAGGGTTTTCTTCATCCCCACAGCCCGCATTTGAGAGTTCACCTTCCGATCCTTCCCTGTGGCCTTCCAATACCCAGCTTTTGTTGCTCGGTTAGTCCTTGATCCATTTGGGTATTTACGGTCTCGGGGACTAAAGAAGTACCACTCCAGATCTTTGCTTGGTAACAGTGATTTCCCTGGAATAGTTCACAGTTCAATAAACTAAGTTGTTAGAACTTGGAAATAGGCTTTCTTGCTTCCATGAAGCAAATTCTTCATCCTTATTTGTATTTTGAACTACGTTGCATATCGATTTTTGGAAACAAAATTTATTTACAATTAAAAATATCCATGAGTAAGACACAGAAAAGACCATGACCCTAGGTTCTACAATTCACCATGTCTATTGATGATGGTTAGAGCTAAACCATTAGATTTTTGTAGCAGATAACGTTTGGTTTCCCCGAAGTGTTCCATAGCCCTCGGTTCCACTAGAAGATCTTGATCTTGGTTCAAAAAAAGAATTGAATGAAGAAGGGAAGAAAAGGAAGAGAGAAAAAGGTTCAACACCAAATCTCTGGATGACGATGAAATCATGGTCTTTTTTTTTTCTTGCTTTTTGACTTCAATCTCACACCAAAGTACTTATTTTTGTGTTCCAATAGGAGATAAAAAGATGTAGGGACCATTCCCAATACCCTTAAGCAACTTCCATTTTTCACAAATAATTATAACAAAAGATCATATAAGATATGTGTACTACTAAAGCTTATGATTTTTTGACTGATAAAGCATTTTCAGCTCATAGAACTCACTGATTACCATGATCAGAATATAAAATTCAACCAAAAGAAGGTGAAGCTAGCACGCTTAAGGAACATTAGAAAAGATTAAATAGGTTACTTTAATGCAGCTGAGTACCTTCAACAAACCAATGAAATGAAGAGAAGGGTTAAAAAAAAAAATCCTTGGACATGGAGTTTCATCCCCCGCGTTCTTGAAATTTATTAAAATGCCCATTAATTTTTAAATATCTAGAACTGTGGATTACTTTTAATCTATTAACTTCGTAGTAAGGTTCCAAACACAAAAGGAAAATTATTCAACTCTTAAAAAGGGTTTCATAATGAAGGCGACTCATATTCCATTAATTACTTGACGCAAAAGGAAGCCAATTATAGTTGTTATACCTTTCTTTAAACTCACTTTGCAAGTTTCTTCTTCTTTTTTTTGTTGGTTTTTTTTTTTTTTGGGGGGGGGGGGGGGGGGGGNCTCTTTCTCTCCAATTATCCCATGCTTCGTTATTGTCCTTTCTTGGAATCTGAGCCTCGATGTCCACGTGTCAACCTGTGATTTGATGCATTGCCGACCTTCTGTTCCTGTTAGAAGGATCTACGTTAACGAGCAACATTGGCAAACAGTTTTGGCGGCTTTCCCAACTGCAAAGTACAAAGAATGTTCCTTTCACATGCTCATCATTGCCTCGTCGGCGTCCGGTCTACCGACAAAAAATCTCCGAGGGGTCAGTCATCATATATATTATGTATTATTGTTCACAACTTTACGCTTATCCTCTAGATCAATTGGTACTGGTGCCTTCTTTTCTGATTAATGACTAAATTCCCCGGAAACCCTAATCCGAAATTCATTCCTATGGAGTTAGAGTTTGTTTAAGGGTGACAATTTTCAGAGTAAAACTTGTACACAACATGAATTTTAAAGTGACACAGTCAATTCTGAGAATAATAAAGGGGCGATATTAACTAGTGTCAATTAAAATTATCCCATTTTTTGCACAACAGACCTGTTTCACATATACTGAGATAAAAAAAAAGTTTTAATTTTATATTTTTTTCTTGATCTAGTATTGCATAAATTGGTGTAGATCACAAGAAAGTGTAGTGGTAATACATATCAAAGGTGATGAAAATGGTAGAAGTAGATCAAAATTAATTTTGGATGGAATTTAAAAAAAAAATGTGTGATGGCTTACAATTTCCTAATAAAAATTATGGCCCTTGATTCATAAAATCGATTTCTAGTAAATAGGAAAAGACTTAGTCGAGTTGAATTCCTATATGATTTTTGATTTAATTTTCCTAAAAGATGATTCAAGTAGAATTTTGATTTATGTGGGACCTATGTGTGGCAAATTTAATTGAGAGAAAAAAAGGGTCTCAATTCTGTGATTTTTGATTCACAAGTTTACATAAGGATGACACCAACATGACACAAACTTAAAATGATACAATTGAACTCAAAAAGATATTACTCGAATATAACATCACATGAATTGGTTCAATTGACACCCCTACAGTCACCACCAATTAGATGTGCACACTACTTAATGTGAACTGAGAACATATAAACACATTCGAGTGTCGATGCTGAACAAGGTTCTTAGTTTCACACCCTGTGGAAAATCAATGGGGGTAATTCTGAACATGTCCAATACTGTTTCCCTTTCCAAAAACACATGGGGGTATGAATTTAACACCCTCCACCGCCACCAATTTTCTACCTACACCACATTAGGTATAGATCAAGAATGCAATAGTAACACAATATCTCGATAATGTGTGTACCCACTACATCGGGTGGTTGTGGAATTTGTTGCCATCGTCTTGACTTTTATTGTTATTTTTGCTTAGATAGGCAAGTGTTTGTACAAACTTCTTCGGATGTGGAAAAGATGCTATCTATCTAGTTTTTTTTGGGTTTTCCTTAGATTAAGTAGACAATGTCGTGTCGTGTGGCCATTGATCACGTACTGAGCTATGCTGTATATATTATTTTTCTTTATGTCTCAATCGTATTCACATTAATATTGACTTGTTGTCAACCATACACATTACCATCATACTTACCCCCAATATGCTTTAATCAGATCATAATCAAGCTTCACGTAAGTCAATAACCATTGACAACACGTTGCTAGCAATCTTTAATAAAAAAAAACCAATTTGCTTGGTACATTTCTTTTAAAATAGCTTTGTGTATTTTTTTTTTTCGTTAATTGAAAACTTTATTAAACTTCAAAACATAGTATATGAATTAGAAATAACAAAAATGTTAATACCGGGCATGAAGCAGCAGGATGTAACCTGTACATATAAGAGTGTTCATATAAGTCAGTCAAGTACATGAGATTCTTGAAATTATAAAGTTCGAAGAAGATCATATATACAAAATCTTTTTTTAATAATATTGTTGAAAAAAATCAAAAAACATTATTGCACAGCCTTATCTTATGTTCAAAAAAATTATTTATATAACTCAAACTCATAATACCCACCAAGCAACCTCACCCACAAAAAAACAGAAAAGAAAAGAGTTTATGTCATTAGCTTCTGGATACTTATAGTGTGTTTGGTTTGAAGCAAGGTGGGTGGATGAAAAATGGAAAGGAGAATGACGTTTCCTCTCTTGTCCTGGGTGAGGAAAATTAGAGGGACAAAAAATGGTGGTGTAAAAGTAATCCACACCAATTTATTTTTGATATAGAGTGTCTAAGTTTACGTCGACTATTCTTTCGAATTTAAATATTGCACCCAACAATTTGAATCACTTTGACTGCGAGCTGAAAATCAGAATGAAGAATAATGTTATTAAGACATAATGTAAATAAATAATTTTGGAACATAATAATTATGGTCATTAAATTATCAGTGAGTCTCAATATTAAATGCACTCCACTATGTTATAAATTATATCTTTAAATTATGCCTCCGTAGAATTAATGGAAAAATAAACATAGGGCCCTCAAATTTTGTCTATTTGTCTTGGCGACCAAACCTTTTTAGGCTTGGTCCACATAGAAATACTTACACTACATAAGGGCATTTATGATATTGTATAAATAATAATTTTCTTTTTGTTTGTAAGAATGATAGAAAAATGAGAGAAATTTTTTTTTCTTCTTAGACATTCCCATTATTTTTTCCAATCCCTTATTTTTCTATTCCTCTAATCAAATGCTCTATTAGAGAAGGTAGTAGATGTGTCAAATGAATAAAATTTCGTTTCGAAATGTTTTAAATAAAACGCTTGAAACGTTTTCGTTTTTAAAGAGACCAAAACAAATCAGTGATGAAATTAAATTTTCAACGGTTCAAGATGTTTTGAAATATTTCAAAGTATTTCGAGATATTTCGGCACATTTTTATTATTTTTTTGACATGTTTTGAAGTATTTCAAGATGTTTTTATATATTGTGACTAGAATTTTGAAATATTTTAAAAATAAATGCCAAATTTTTTCTTCATTTCTATTTATTTTCATAACGTTTTTAAAATATATTAATTTCATAAATAATTAAAATAATATATCAAAACAAAATTTTAATATTTGCATGTGCCCTTCTCCAATTGTCTGACTATCAAACAGTGAAAAGGAGTTGGCGTAGAACTAATAAAGGGCCCAGGGCCCACAACTCACAGCGCTGGGGCCTACTTTTGCCACGTGAAATAAAAAGTTTCTTACGTGTCAAAGCAGGATCGCTTGTTGCATTCTGCTCATCCTTCTCAGCGTGATGCCAAATTGTTCTCTCTCTCTCTTACTTTTCCTTTTTGTCGATCCATCTTTTGGTGCTTTTTCCCTTTTTGTGGGTCTCTTTATGTGTTTCTTCTTCGCTGTTACCATCATTATCTTTAAACATCTTTGAGTCCTCTGCAATACTCAATGTTCTACCAATGAAATAATGCAACAAATATTCTCCAATTTTAATCAAATTGATGTTCTGCTTTCTCTCTCTCTCTGGCTTTAGTTTCATTAGGACACTGCAAAAATCGTGTTTTATATATATACATATTGACGACTAAGTTATCCAGATTATTTTCAAATTTATGAATTATAATTATATACAATTACTTATAAATCACAAAATCTTCAAGATTAACGTGTATTTTTGGCATATCGATGATGGCTCTTTTAAGAGTCAAACTTAGCACCCGAAGATAATAACTTTATCTCATCCTTCGTTTCGTTTGGTAGGATAGAAAGATGAAATGATAAAAAATTAAAAGAATGGATAGAACATTATATTTGATAAGAAAGAAAAATAAAAAAGATGAAAAAATGGATTGATGAACTTTCTTTCAAATTTACCAAAATTAATCCCTTCAAAATTGAGAGGAAAAACGGATGGAAAATAATTATGTGCACTGAAATGTATATCATTTGTCTAAATATCCTTTAATATATACATATATATATATATATATATATATATATATATATATCATTGTTATCAATTATATATTATGTATACATTAATTTCATATATAAATATAATGATAAAATATGTATTTATATTTTTTTAACAAAAAATAAAAAATAATATTTTTTTCCATCTACCAAATACAAAAAAATCAATCCTTCCTTTTTACCAAATACAAAGGAAAGGAGAAAAGATTCCTCCATTGAATAATAGAAAATGTATTATTTCGGTTTTCTATTCTTCTATTTTTTTACTCGCCCTACTAAACAGACCATTAAGAAGCTTCGTATCCGGGCTAGTCTCGCAGGTTAATTGTTTATCATTGTTGTTCTTAATCAAGATTTAATGATAAAGTTAATATGACCTTTATATCCCAATACCTACAAAAAAAAACGAAGAAGATGAATATTTATATACATGTACGTTGTTTTCATTGATAATTAATAATCATCATTGCATGCAAATGGACGTTAAACAGGATTCTCAATGGGAATCACCTAAAACAAGTCTGAACAGGTATGTAAAAGCAATGACGTAATCATAATTTAAGCTTTATTAAACTAATTTGTTTTTTTAATGTTTTAGAATAATCGGCCTCGAAACTGTTGCCGAAAGCAAGCCTCCCCGATGCTTCTTTTTTTGTCTGAATGCTCAAAACCGACGTCTCATGAATCTACAGCCAGCCAAAAGAAGAAAAAGAAAAAACAATGAAGAATATTGTAATTAAGAAAGGACTTAACAATTCAATTTTGATTATTAAATTCAAAAGAGCAGAAGCATAGCCTTGTTTTGTTAATTTGTTGTCATTAATCAAAGTAATACANTTGACTGCGAGCTGAAAATCAGAATGAAGAATAATGTTATTAAGACATAATGTAAATAAATAATTTTGGAACATAATAATTATGGTCATTAAATTATCAGTGAGTCTCAATATTAAATGCACTCCACTATGTTATAAATTATATCTTTAAATTATGCCTCCGTAGAATTAATGGAAAAATAAACATAGGGCCCTCAAATTTTGTCTATTTGTCTTGGCGACCAAACCTTTTTAGGCTTGGTCCACATAGAAATACTTACACTACATAAGGGCATTTATGATATTGTATAAATAATAATTTTCTTTTTGTTTGTAAGAATGATAGAAAAATGAGAGAAATTTTTTTTTCTTCTTAGACATTCCCATTATT